ATAAATATTATTGATGGTTATGCTTAATGAGTCCACATTATCTGGTGTCAATTAGGCCTAATATGCAATATAAAGAGAGGTTTCCTGAGTCAGCAGTAAATGCTGCTTGCAAGTTTAAGGTTTGTGTCAGTCAATAGGAGGCAATTAAGCACCAATTGCATTATGCAAATTGTAAGCGAACAGAATATCAATCAATGTACTCCAAGTTTATTTGGTCTTGGGTTAGAGTGTGTACAGCAAAAGCAGCGAGTAGCACAGAGGCCAGCGACAGTAACTTCTGTACAACTGGATGAGAACATGGTGGATCTCACACATCTGATCTGAAACTATCTGTTTTCTACTTCCTCAGAGTGGGCACTTACCCCTGCAGGAACATTGGGACCGGTAGGCTCATCAAGTCACCGGGGTTATGAAATAGGCCTTATTACTCAATATCACCCTCAGCGGGTGAAGGGATGGTCACACTGTAAGAAAACAAAAAGTGAAAGGCTGCTGTAATATTGCTACACCTTTTCCTAGCCATCATTATAGCTCTGTTCTTTAAAGTCTTCTGCCTCCATTTTAGACAAATTAACAAAAATACTCCCATCCAGCTCTGGGAAATACAACGGTATTTTTATGTGGCTCTTTCAGTGAAAACAGTTTTTAATGGGCAGAATTAGCCAGATGCATAATAAGAGTCAAGAGGAGGAAACTATATGTCGCTATTTGAAAAATGAATCCTGGCCACGTATAGGTTAGTCAGCCAAGCTCAAGTTCCAAGGTCACTGTCAGTCAGGAAGCCCTTTAACCCGTTAACCTTTACCATACATTAAAGCTCAGTTCTGAATGTAAGAAGATTTTTATTTTTTTATTTAAGCAAACCTTTTGAATGAGCATTCTGAGAGTATTCTGCTAAAGATTGGTGGATAGAGACTGTTTAAAAATGTGTTTATATATAATGGTAGAAAGTCAAGATAACCACTAAAATCTACTGGGTTTCAGGGGGTAAATGTAACGACATTCTGGGAGAAATTGTATACATTCTTTTAAACAGAACAGGCAGACATTTTAACTTGCCATAGCAGGAACATCACAGACAGAGCTGAAACAATTAGCCAATTGAGTAGTAGAACAACAACAAAAATATTAACTCATTTCATAATCAGTGAATTGTCGACTTAAAATTTTTGTCAAGCAAAAATGCCCAACATGTTTTTGACAAATGACGATTTGCTGCCCTTCTGTTTTAAAGCATAAACTAAAAATCTTTGGCTTTAGTTGGTTAGAGAGAAAATCAAAGGCATCTGAAGACGTCACCTTCAGCAAATTGTGCATTTTTTTTCCATTTCTATACATTTTATAGACAAATGATTCATCGATTAATTGAGAAAACACTTTGCAGATTAACAGATGATTAAAAAAACGTAGTTGGAGCCTCAATCACATGTATTACTAAAACATTAATAATGGCTCCATTATATTTAGTAGTGCTAGCATGCACAACATCCGGGCTCTAGAACTAAAAACGCATTGTTCCTGTTATTAGTGAAAATGTCCACCTTAAGAAAGGTCTGCTGCATTGTTTATATTTGAATGAAATCACTTTGACCTCCTGAGCCTCTGTGAAATCCCACTACAGCGCATCATCATCGTTAAACCTGTTTATTCCTCTGCCCAGGTGAAGGTGTGGTTCCAGAACAGGCGGACCAAGTACAAGCGACAGAAGCTGGAGGAGGAAGGACCAGACAGCCAGCAGAAGAAGAAGGGAAACCACCACATCAACAGATGGCGCATCGCCACCAAGCAGGCCAGCTCCGAGGACATAGACGTGACCTCAGAGGACTAAAACAACGGTCCAAGCTCCGACAATGCTGCCCTAAACCCTGCGTCCCCTTCTGACGCATCAGAGGACCAACACTATTTATTATGTAATATTATTAAGTATAATTAGACACATTAGAGGAAGACACAAGGACTGAATATGTGATCACAGCTTATCTCTTCATCGAGGTGCTACACTCTGTGACACAGGAAAAAAAAAACCCCATCTTATTTAATGACATCCATCCTGAACGTCTCTGGATGAGGAGGGATCCTTCCATCATTTAATGATCTTTGGTGTGTGACGACCGAAGATGAAGGGAAACAACGTCAACCTCTATCATAGTGTTTGTTTTTTTAAATTGTACATAGGCAACTTATAAAGGTTGTTTTTGAAAGAGGCTATTTGTTTCATTAAAGCTGTTTCTACCACCTGCTTAGGTCATTAACACCTCATTGCTCACCCCACCCACTCCGCCACCTGTGAGCCATGTTAATTTAAATTTCTCCTCAATGACAAGAACATGTTGTCGCACACTTTTTATCCACCCAGTGAGTCGGAGAACAGGCTGGCGACTGGCCAGAAGAACAAAGCAGGAAATGAACCATGTGTCAGAGAAGATGCGAATTTCTCACTTCCTGCATGATTTTATTTTCACTGGTGACTTGAGAGCCATTCCAGCGCTCTGTTATGCTCCCTAATGAAGATTGTCCACAGAGAGGCGATTCATAACCAGCTGTGCATGACTCTGGGACAGACGAGACGCTGCAGAGACCTCTGGTGTTAGGGGCGAGTTGTGCCACATAAAAGCAAGTTCACAGCTTTGTGCTTCTTCTGCCATGCCACATTTGTCAGTGTGGGGTGATGGATGACGTCTCCATTTGTTGAATGTCTGCGCCGTGTGTAGTACAAAAACATATATGAGAACATACTTTTCAAGCAGAACGTGTAATTATAAAAAAAAAATGTTTTAGAAATAAAAACAAAAGCTATTTCTCTGATGAGAAATGTAATGTTTTTGTGTAATCCAGATAATCACTTCATGTACATCATGTCGACCAGGCTGCAGAGTCTGAAGGCTTTCCTTAAAGCCAGTCATTATAGCGGCAGATTTCACTCATTAGTTCCTTCTCTCCGGCTGGAGGTGCATGTGCAAATCAGTGTGAAACATGCTGCTGCAGTGTTTGATTGGAATGAAAACCTGCAGCCGCTTGGGCCTCCGTGGCACAGGAAGTGGTACAGTCCACAAGTAGAACAGTAGAACAGTAGAACCCAAGCGAAGAAGGATTTTCTATTTTCAGGTTGTTTTATGCTTTAAACTAGAGCTAAAAGAACCCCCCCCCCCCCCCCCTGAAAATCAGAGGAGAATTAAGGATTAGGGATTCATGACAGCCTGAAAAAAGATCTAAACCCCTTAGCAGGGTCCTCTTAGGTTGGGAACCTCTGATCAAGACTAAGGTGTCAGGAATGTTGCAGGACAGTTGCACAGGTGTCAGGTGTGTTACCTATGGGCCGGTATTTCCTCCAAATTCCAGCAGAAGGGGGGGAAACAGAAATAATTCCCATCCAGAGGGTTCAACCTCTGAAAAAAAGAGGGAAAGTTGTAACTATTGTGTGGCGGCCCTTTCACCAAAGCGCCTCAGTAATCACCTGTCAAAAGAAATGGAAGGAATCTCCTCCTAATGACCCCGAGGCTTTAGAGATGAGCCCTGACGTCTGACCCTGATGTCTTGTTTTGTAAGCTAAGAAACAGAGAGGCAGCAAGGCACGGGGGGGGGGGGGGGAAACTAAA